CCCATCCATCCACTCACCCATCCACTGGCCCATCCACCCATCCATCCATTCACCAATCAAACCACCCATCCACCCATCGAGCCACCCACACATCTACACATCCACCCATCCATCCATCCATACACCCATCAAACCACCCATCCACCCAAACATGTACCCATCCACCCATCCACGCATCCATCCACTCACCCATCGAACCATCCATCCATCCCTACACCCATCCACCTAAACACCCACCCATCCACCATCCATCCATCCATCCACCCATTCACCCACCCATCCACCATCCATCCATCCATCCACCCATTCACCCACCCATCCACCCACACATCTACCCACACATCTACCCATCCACCCATCCACCCACCCATCCAACCACTCATCAACCCACACATGTACCCATCCACCCATCCACCGATCCTTCCATCCACTCATCCATCTACCCATCCATCCATCTACCCACCCATCCACCCACTCACCCACCCACTCATCCACCCATCCACCCATCCACCCATCCANCCCATCCAACCACTCATCAACCCACACATGTACCCATCCACCCATCCACCGATCCTTCCATCCACTCATCCATCTACCCATCCATCCATCTACCCACCCATCCACCCACTCACCCACCCCCACATCTACACATCCACGCATATATCCATCCACCCATCCACTCAACCATGCACCCACTTATCCACCCACACATCAACCCTCCACCCATCCATCCATCCACTGACCCATCCACCCACTCATCAACCCACACATCTAGACATCCACCCATCCACCCATCCATCCACTAACCCATCCACTGGCCCATCCACCCATCCATCCATTGACCAATCAAACCACCCATCCACCCATCGAGCCACCCACACATCTACACATCCACCCATCCATCCATCCATACACCCATCAAACCACCCATCCACCCAAACATGTACCCATCCACCCATCCACGCATCCATCCACTCACCCATCGAACCATCCATCCATCCCTACACCCATCCACCTAAACACCCACCCATCCACCATCCATCCATCCATCCACCCATTCACCCACCCATCCACCCACACATCTAACCCACACATCTACCCATCCACCCATCCACCCACCCATCCAACCACTCATCAACCCACACATGTACCCATCCACCCATCCACCAATCCATCCACCCATCCACCGATCCTTCCATCCACTCATCCATCTACCCATCCATCCATCTACCCACCCATCCACCCACTCACCCACCCACTCATCCACCCATCCACCCATCCACCCATCCTCCAATCCACTCATCCATGTACCATCCATCCATCCACCCACCCATCCACCCACTATCCACCCACACACCTACCCATCCACCATTCCACCCACCCATCCACCCAAACATCAACCCATCCACCCATGCACCCATCCATCCACACATTCACCCACCCATCCACGCACTCATCCACCCACAGATCTAGCCTTCCACCCACTCACACATCCGTCCACTCACCCATCCACCCATCCATCCATCTACCCATCCACCCACTCATCCACCCACTCATCTACCCATCCACCCATCCACCCACCCATCCACCCACTCATCCACCCACACATCTACCCATCCACCCTTCCACCCACCCATCCACCCAAACATCTACCCATCCACCCATGCACCCTTCCATCCATCCATCCACCCACCCATCCACCCACTATCTACCCACACATCTACCTATCCACCCTTCCACCCACCCATCCATCCATCCACCCATCCACCCACCCATCCATGCACTCACCTACCTACACATCTACCCATCCAACCATCCATCCACCCATCCATCCACCCACCCATCCATGCACTCATCCACCCACAGATCTAGCCTTCCACCCATCCACCCATCCGTCCACTCACCCATACGCCCATCTATCCACTCACCCATCCTTCCACCCATCCACGCATCCACCCTCTCAGCCAGCCGCACATCTACCCATCCACACATCCACCCATCCATGCACTCACCCATCCACGCATCCACCCACTTTTCCACCCACCCATCCACCCATCCACCATTCCATCCACCCATCCACCCATCCATCCACCCATCTACTCGTCCACCC